AGCAAAGAACTGACCAAGTGGGGGGGTAGGAAGAACACGCTCACCTCTGAGGTGGAGGGAGGCCCTGACTGCGACTGGTGGTGTGTACTCCTGGGTCCCAGAACGGAGCAAGGCAAGGGCGATAATGCAGCAAGCCTGCCCTGCGCTGCATTGCTCGCGCGCTGCGCCGCGCGCGTACGAGAATACCGCAAGAGTTCGTTTGCCCACGCCCATGCCCCTGCGAAGGCGAGGGCCCCCGCTCCCGACGAGGGTCGGACGCCGAGCGATTGGTGGTGAGAGCGCTCAGCGGAGCGCCGGCCGCACGTCGGCGGGCGAGAGCCAGCTCGCCCACTCCCTAGCGGTGCGAGGACGGGCTGGACCTTCATCCCCGTGTGGGTAGCACAAACGAGACCGGTCCTTCACACTCGAAATTCCGATGCGGGTTACGCATCCCATCTACAGGGTCTCGCTCCGGAAACAGAGCCGAACCACGGAGGACCATCATGGGCACCGCAAGGCATGGGCAATGGCACCACGACGGATCTCTCTGGAGCGAGCTGGCCTGAAGTGGACATGGAGTCCGAAACGCGCCGACACTCCAGACGGAGTTCTCGACCACCACCTCTTCGACACTGGCCGTTTCGAATGCGACCCCCCTTGGTGGCGCCAATGCCAGCCCCAGGGAACGTCGACACGGCAAAACAAAGCCCGTGATACCTGCTCTTCTTGCGCAGCGCTGGAGACCTGGGACCAAAGCACAGCGCCCGAAATCGCACCTGCACTCAGTCGGACACTCGCACCGGGCACCGGGCCCGTCGTCGCGAGACCTGGCGCGCCCAGAAGGAGCAGGAGGAAGGAGAACGAAGAGGAGGCTGGCTGGAGGCGGTGGGATGTGTTTGAGGTGATGGAGGCACGAAGGAGATTTCCTCGCTGCGTGGGCCCATGCACCACCCCATCCTCTCCCGCTCGACCGCACTCGAGGATGCCCTGCTCCACCTGCTATCAAGCGGCCACCGACGCCACGAGTGCTCGCGCCCAGCGGCTTGCCCAAGAGAAGGAGGCTGGCCAGGGTGGCCCGTGCGGGAAGCGTTCGCCACCACAACCGCCACCACCACGAGGGCCACGGCGACGGCGACGGCGACGGCAACGGCGACGGCGACGGCGGCAGCGACCACGACGGCGGCGACGGCAACCCGCAGCCGCGATCGCTCCGCGTCGCGAGGCGCCGCGCCGCGGCGGGGCCGCCCCGCAAGCCGCCCGCGTGGGCTGCAGGCGCGCGGAGGCCCCGCGGCAGCGGAGGGGGGCGCGGGCGGCGGCCACCGGAGGAGGCCGCGCTGACGCGCGCCGCCTGCGGGGGCAGGAGGACGAGGAGAGGGAAGGAGAGGGGAGTGGGGAGGGGAGGGGAGGGGAGGAGAGGGGAGGGGGGAGGGGAGGGGAGGGAAGTGGAGGAGAGGGGAGGACGGACGGAAGGGGGGAAGGAGGGGGGGGAGGGGGGGAGGGGGGGAAAAGAGGGAGGGAAGGAGGGGGGCAAGGAGGGGGGGAGGTGGAGGAGGGAAGGGGAGAGGAAGGGAGGGAGGGGCGGACCTCCAGCGGCTGTCACCTGAGTGCCGCATGTTCTCCTAAGTCGACGAAAAACGCGCCGACGCGGCCATCCAAACAGTCGTTGCGGTGCTCACCCAGGCCAGGCTCCAGGTCAACCAGAGCAAGACAAGAGCCTGGACGAAGGACCGTGCGGCAGTCTTGCCTCCAGCAGCGCAGCGAGCCCAGGTCGACACTCACGTGCCTCGGGGACACGGCGACATGGCTGAAGCGAGGGCAGGAGTGGGTCTGCGTCCACGCCAGCGCTGTCGGGGAGGCCCGCAGTGGCCGAGGCCACAGCCTTTCGGGCTCGCTTGTAAGATCTCTGGGCTGTCGGGCTTTCCGCCGAAGGAGCTTGGGTCCTCCTCCGCGTCTTTGCCCAGGGCGCGGTGACGAACAACCTCCTTGATGCGTATCATCTGGCGTGATCGGACCCATTTGACGACTCTGTTTTAAGGATGCCTCGAGGAGCTCCTGCAGGCTCCGCTCGACGACACGCAGAGGCTGCAGGCCACCTTGCGCCTGGTCGATGGGGGGTGCGCTCTCCCTTCAGCCAAGGAGGCAGCACCAGTCGCGTACGCCGCGAGCTGGGCGCTCGTCATGCAAGACGGGGCCCGCGGCGCCAGGTTCGCCACTTGGGAGGAGTTCTGGGCCCGCAGCCCAATGACGGTCCAGTCGCTGCAGCGGGCGGTGGCGGAGCTGCGAGCACAGGGAGAGATGAGGGACGACCCGACCGAGTGGTTGCACACTTTCCAAGAATCGCTGCCCGAGCGGCCAAGGAGCAGTCCTCGACGGCACGCAAGCGCCTGCTGGGGGCGCTTAGAAGACAACTACGCAACTCCACTGAACAGGCCAGCCCGGCGCGGGGGGGGGGGGCGCTGCTCCTCGGGGAGGAGGGGGACCAGTCCATCCCAGACGAGCACATCCTCGCAGCGTACGAGAAGAAACAGCGTGCCCGACCAGAACTGCGTGCCCGCGTGACCGACCAGAAGCTTGCGGGTACCAGCGTGCCCGACCAGAACTCGCCGCTGCCACACTTAACACGCAGACACAAGGTCACCGTGCAATGAGCCCCTGAACCGCTAGGGGGCTCATCACGGCTCGGCACGAAATCATGCGGGACTGGCATGCGCCTGCGCACACCCAGCTCACTGAGCACCACGCCGCCAAGGAACAGGGCTCCAGCTTGGGACGGGATGAACCCACGGACGTGTGTAATGGAGCACACGAAGGTGGACATCTGCACACGAGACACCAGCACAGAACAGATCATCCTATTTATACGGATTGGAGCGTAATCTGCCGCAAATGGTCCTTTCAGGGGGGCGTAAGACCCGGGTACAGGGGACTCGGAAATCCCCGACGAGGTCGTCAAAAAAATGACGAGGCCGAGCCTGCATTTTGACGAGGCCTCCCGCTGCAGACATCCCACGAAACTCCTCCTCGTCAAAATCCGAGGCGCGGTCGTCAAAAAACGATGGCGAACCCGAGTCCTGGCAAACCCGGGTCTTACGCTCCCCCGATCCTTGATAAGCGTGTCCGCTACCCTCCACAGCACGGAAACTGGTGCCCCTGGCGTTCGAATTGTAAGGCCACCCGTCCAGTACGGCCGTCGAGTTCATCTGGTCCTGTGGCCATGAGCGCGGCGACACCGAGCGAGCCCAGGTGCTTAGAACGATGTGGATGCAGATCAGCCGGCGCCTGCAGACCAGCAACGCTGAGATGCTGCCCAGCCCTGGGCCTTGGGGCAGTGAAGAACGGGAGCCCAGCCGCCAGCACTACAGGCACTGTCAGCACCAGCAGCACCGCAGCAGCATCACCACCAGGACGGCCGCTGCCCTGTCACCACCTAATCACTACCATCACATCCACAGTCACCCTCACACCCGCCTCCACCGCCACGGCCGCTGCAGGGCCTCAGACTGACTGCCGGCGACCACACTCGCGACCGCCACCACGACCCCCACCATTGCACCTCCGACGACCACTGCCGCGAGAATCACTACTACGACCACAGCCGCCCCCCGTCCCCCTCCCCCTCTTCGCCGCCACCCTGCTTCTCCCTCCCAGACCGCCCTGCAGCCGCTGCAGCTGATGCTGCAGCTGCGCGCGCCGAGAAATATTACAGCGTATGCTCGATAACGGGCGCTTTCTGGCCGTACCGCTCGGAACCGATACACTACCATACTGTTGTAATATATGTTCGGGTCGGGGGCACACCTCCAAGGAGGACACATGGCACTGGTATGATCCTCCTCGTCCTTGCAGAGGCGGCGTGGGCATGGCCAAAGACAGAACACGGCCCAGGGCCGGCTCGCTGGCGGCCTGAGCTGGACGGACAGGGGCCCGCGGGTCGTCCCATCCCTGGCAGCCTGCTGCCTGGGACACAAGCCCTCGGCTATCCGCGCCAATTTCTCGCGGCCTTCCTTGGTACTCTGAAGGCAGGGCCGTCGCTGGTGTCCGAAGACTTCTCTGCGGTAGAATCCGCACCTGTGGCAGCAGGTCGGCCCACAGGTCGCCCAACAACCGAGCCTCTCTGTAGAACGGGCCAGCCATGGACCATTGCCAGCGCTCGTCCCCAATGCACGCCTTGCCCCCGTCTCGGGCCTGCTTCTCAAACTGGAGCGGGCTGTGGAAGCACTGCCGCAGCTGGCGCGCAGGGCGCGTCGCAACACTGCAACCGCTCCTTCGCGGGCACCCCGCGCGAGCACCGCGTGCAAAACCAATACACTCCTGCCTGGCTGAGCGCGTGAATGCTGATTCTACTGGCACTGCTCGTCTGGAGCCCAATGGTGCAAAGAGAAGAAGGAGATGGATGGCTGGATCAGTCGGTGGGTGGATGTATAGATGGATGGAGGGGAGTGGAGGAAAAGGACAAAGGAGGAAGGATGAGCGACGAAGAGATGGATGGACGGACGGAGGAGTGACGAAGGGATAGATGGATGAATGGATGGATGGATCGATAAATGGATGGATGAACGGATGGACGGGCGGATGGACGGACGGACGGATGGATGGATGAGGAAAAAATAAAAAAAAACCTAGGCATTGCATGCCCCTGGGCTCGAGCCACCGCGGGCCGGCGTCGTCGACGGGAAGAGGGGGGATGGAGGGCCCTGGATTCTGGGTCGGCGACCAGGTTAGAGGCCTCACTGATGGGGTCCGAGCAGATGGGGTCGGAGGATCCGGCCGCACCGCCGATGCATCGGGCGGCGTGCTCGGGCTCCTTCACATCGAGCCGCATTGCCGCTGCATCGGCGATGCGGCGCGATCCTCCGACCCCATCTACTCGAACCCCATTTGGAAGGCCTAGACAGGTAGAGTCCTGTCAACACGAACGTTACACTTCACTGGCACGCGTGCGCAACGAGGGGGATAGAGAGAGGGCGGAGAGAGGCGGCGGCGGCCCAGGTGCAATTCTTTCAGCGACGTCCATCATATTTTGCGGCGTTAATTCGCTGATTGCTCAAGTTAGGAAACGCAGCCAGGCCAGGAGTGGCATCTGGCCAAGCCTTAAAGAGACCTGGCGTAGGCAATGACTGACGCGGAACCCAGGACCTTGCCCCAATGCCGGGAGGTCCCCCTTGTGCAACGGAGGTGGGGGCCCACTCGGGTGCCCCCGGGCCCAAGGAGAGAGGGAAGGGGAGGCAGGGAAGGAGGGTAGAAGGGAGGGAGGCCAGGAGGGAAGGAAGGAGAGAATGGGGGGAGGGAGAGGGGTAGAAGGAAGGGAGGGGAGGGAGGGAGGAGGAGGGAGGGTGGAGGGAGGGGCAGGGAGGATCCTGGGGGGCCAAGGGCCAGCCTCACCCGAGCGCCTCCAGGTCGCCGGGCTCCTCCTCGGGCACCTCGCGGGCGGCGAAGCCCCCCGCAAACGTGGAGCAGGTACGGGAGGCGACAGGCGGGAGGCGGAAGGGGGAGTGAGGATCGGCTCGGCTCGAGTAGGCCCATGGGGCTCGTCAGGAGCCAGGGCACCGTCAGGGAAGGAGAAGGGAGGGAGGGAGGGAAGGAGCCAGCCAGGGCCAGGCGCCGCCGAGCACGGCGGGGGCTTGGGCGGCTGCCACCTGGGGCGGCTCCAGCGCTGGTGGCAGGATCAGCACAATTAGCAAATCTGGCGCCTGCCCCCTCTCTCCTCCTTCTGCTCTCTGCGCTGCCCTCCCCCCCGTCGTCGCCCCTCTCCCCATGCTCTCCTGTGTCTCCCTGGTTCCGTGGCCTCTCTCGCCCCTCTCCCCCCCACCTCCGCGGGTGCCCCTTGTTCCGTCGTCGTGTCGTCCGTCTTCGGCTTCGTCCGTCGCCATCGCTGGGATGTGGCTCTGGCAGCACGGACTTTGAATTCTGGGAGGTGGCATTCAATTCAACGAATGCCGAACTGGGGGAAGTCCAGCACTTGAGCCGTAGGCGGCGTAGCAGACCCGACTCTTTCCCGCTTGCCCAGCGGTCCCCACGGCGACGGAGTGCGGAGCCAACTCTGGCGCCGCCGGGCCGAGAAGGGAGGGGGGGGAGGGAGGGAAGCAGGAGGGCGGAGGGTAAGGAAGGAAAAAAAAGGAACGAGCAAGGAGGGGGGAGGCAGGGAGGGAGGGAAGGAGGGAGGGCCGAGGCGACAGCGCACGTCAGCGTGACCACGGTGCACGGGCCTGCTTTCCATCCCCCTTTTGAAACACCCCCGCCTCCTCCTGCTCCACCTCCACCTCCTCTGGGCCTCCCCTGAACCCCCTTGAGGCACCCCCCGCCCACGACAATCACTGGCAGCAGCGTGGAGCGAGAGCTCTTCGGTTCCATGTCCCAGAGGATAGAGGGAAGGAGGAAAGGCGCGAAAGGAAAAAGATGGAGCTTCGAGGAGGAGAGAAGGGAAAAAAGGAAGAGGAGGGGGAAGAAGGGGAGACCCTGAAAAGGGGCGCACGTTAAGCGAACACGTATTTTTTAGCCGAACCGACCTCCGTACCCGAGACAATCGGCGGCGGAAGAGGGAGACAACTAGGCAAGCAAGACAGGCAATGCAGTAAGGAGACCTATCATTTGAGTCTGGTGCTCAAACGAGTCTGCCTGTGCCCCGTCGGCTACAGCACGCAAGCCGTGCTGCAAAAAATGAAGCCTCATAAACAGTTGCAGCGGGACGCATTCGCCCGGTTCCGGCATGACTCGGGGTTGTCAGACTTCATTCCATCCCACGGCACGTTGACCCCCACGGCGCCAACCGCAGAAAACCTGTTTTACGGCGCCCGTGGCAGGGTTGGAATTAATACCGACAGAGCCCATGAGACTAGCCAGAGCAGGCTAACTCATCTCCCACCTTAAGGAAGCGAGTCACCACAGGGGCCTTCTACTAACCAGGCCCCCCATGTAAACTTACAGGAGGAACGGGGTGAGCAGACAACTGGAGGAGCACATCAAGACGATTAACGCGCTGCACGCCAGAAACCTGCTGCCCCATGAAAACAATTCATGGAAACAGCCCTTCATTGCTCGACTCACTAAGTCGCAGCTGCGAACATAGTTCGCCGCATGCGGGAGTCCTCTCGCACGTCCTGCCACGTCACCTTCGCGAGCAAAGTCCACGCGACGCGCCTGTCTTTGCCTCTCCCCCTAGCACATTCGCGAACGCAGCTCGCGACATACGACCACCGACGCACCGTCCTGCAGCCGAATTACATGCAATGATACCTCCGGCTGTTAATCCCGTCAATGGGATGTTCTCCTCATCCGTCCTGAGGTTGCTGCGGAGGGAACTGGGCACGGTCTTCCCGCGCCTCTCGCTGCTGTCCGGCCGCGGTGCGGTCGCACTTGAGCTCCCAGCGCATCACGTCCAAGATCAGCTGCCGGCCGATGCTCCCCTGAGTCAGGGAGTCGGCCCTCATGTCACCAGTATCGCACAAAAACATGATGATCTGCTTGGCGCGGAGCTGGTCGGCGAGCCACCACAGGTGGCCCACCGCGCTGCGCTCTGAAGGCGGACGCACAAGGCCCACGGCACTGGCCGAAAAAGCCGCACATCCAGTCCACGACCAGGATTGCCAGCATGGCAGCCCCCCTCCTCCCTCAGCCCCCGCATCTCCTCGGCTGAGACGGGACCTAGAACGATTTCGCGGAGCGCGAGGGGGCGGACCTGCAACCAGTCAGCTGCCCCGCATGCTGTGAGCAGCTAGTAGCCGATGAAGACCTACACACAAGCTTGCGCGAGCGGCTCACAGCGTCGAGCAAGTGGCAGACCTCCTCGCCAGCGCTGCAATACTTGCCGAGGCGCATGCAGATGGCGCCTCTCGCGCCGCACCCCGCCCCACCCACCCACCCTCTCGAAGGACCCGTCGCTGCGCGCGCAGATCTGGCCAGCGCGTTCCACGGCGGCAAAGGCGACGCACGCCGTGATCTTCTGCATGGCGAGGAGGACCACAGAATTGAGCTGCAGAACGCACCGCATAAGCAGCATGTTCGCGGCCCGCTGCAGCGCCACTGCGCGCGCCGCGACGCGGGCGGCGCTGGGCGAGCAAGGCGCAGGCGGCTGATCCCAGCAAAGAGACGAAAAGGTCGGGTAGTTGACCTCCCACGGGCTCATCGGCCTTCGCCTTGACTACGTCGACGCGCCTGCTCGGCATCAGGGCGTCGATGTAACTATTCGCCCTGGCCAAGCGTCACGGCGCCGTCGGGGCTGCGGCACTGGTGGACGCCGCAATTGACAAAGTCGTCGCAGTCACCCTTCATCTCGCCGGAGACGCTCTGCACGTGGCCGACGAGCTTGTCGACGTGCTCCCTGTGTCCAGCGATCTTCAGATCATCAACGCGCTTGGACAACATGGGCACAGGCTTCGTCGCCAGCAACAAATGTGCCCGACGTCTCATGCTTGGTCTCGAGCTCCAGGTCCCACTTGGCCAAATTGGTGTCGCACTCTGGCGAGCGCGTGACCTGGGCGAGTTTTATATAGAAGGCGCGGGGCGCGTCCTCGCAATCCGCGCCCGGCTCGATGCAGCGCGGGCACTCGGCCCGCTCGCCGGTGGACTCGCAGCCGGGCACCTGCTGCCAATAGATGCACTGCCGGGCGGCAGGGCTACATTCACCTCGCGTGGTGTTTCATTTTGATCCTGCATCTCGGCACACGTCATGCCCTGCAAGAATGTCTTCTCGACGTCCAAAGCGACGTAGACCCAGCCCGGGCGGCGCGCCGCCTCCGAGGACAGCATGCGCTGCGAGGCGCGTTTGGCTGTCTCCGGGAACATCTCCAGGGCGAGACGGCGACCATGTCGGGGAATACTCTGGGCGCCACGCTGCACCGGATGATCCACGCGGTCTTGCCGTCGGGACCCTTCCGGTGCTTCCACTTGAAGACGCGCCCTCGACCATGGCTGCGGACACCTCCTTGGACAGCCTGGACACGTTTTCCCTGGCCAGGAGATCGGCGTCGCGCTGGGTGACAACGGTCTCGACGGCGGCGCGCGCGTTGAGCGCGGCTGTCCAGGCTGGCAACACAGTTGCTGAGCGCTTCCTCGTTGAAGCTCAAGAATGGTTCGCGCGCCCTTGGGTCGAGGTACACCTCCACGTGTCTTCCTCGTTCGTCCTCCTCCTCTAGCGTGGCGTAGTCGTCAGAGGCGGCGCCGCGCAGATTGAATGACACAGCGCCCAAGCGCCTTGACGCTGGCGCTGCGTCCCGAAGCACTGGGGCCACTCGCCTGGCTGGCGGCCAAGACAGGCCGCAGCGTGCTCCATAGCAGCGCAAAATCATATGCTGATTATCGTCGGTCTCCAGCGCCTCCAAATCCTGAATCAGGTCTTCTGCCTCTTCGACTTTACGCCACGTTGCCAACATCACGTGCTAGATGTGGCTGGAGAAGTCGCTGCCAGTTTCCTCAAGTATGGCCGACAGTGTTGATGGAGATCCTCCCTCAGTGGTGCTGGCAGCGTCCCCAGGAACGTCGATGCCACAGTAATCGAGAACCCCACATGGTTTTGTCCATTGTCTGCTGCCGTGACCGTCTCGTCACCAAAGACAAATTGCACGATGCGAGCGTCGTTCCACTGTTCGCCGATACGCGTGGTGGCGTCGAACTTAATGCCGTCCATATGAATATGCTGATTGTCACATAAACTCTGAGGGTATCACCAAATGACTAGGCTGCGGGTGCAGCCCAGCCCATTTCCCACAGATTTCCAGCCGCGCAGTAGACCTATGGCAAGGCAAGAAAGTCAGGCAGCTGAAAACACTTGCGGGATACATTGCGTAAAGTTTCGAAGATGTCTGGCAGCTGCCGCGTCTGCGCGGTCGTCTGCACGCCCCTTACGTTCTCCCAATGGTCGAAGGTCCTGGTGCCGGAGCCTGGCATGATGTGCTCGATGAAGTCCTCCACTCTGTCCCAGGCCAGGCTTGCTTTGGCCAAGCTGCTGCCCACGTGGCCAAAGACGGCACCGATGAAGGGCCAGACGTCCTGCAATCTGCAGATCACGTCGGCTCGACCGTTACTTTTCCTCGAGCGAAATCGACAGATATGACAGTCCCAAGGCCCGCCCAGCCTGACACGTTTTTTGTGCTCGAAAGCTTGTGGATCTCCACCTACCCCACATTATAGGCTGCAGCAAAGTAGCGCCCAATTGAACAGCCTTGCCTGCCGCGGACTAGCAGTATCCACGCAGTGCCACGGGCGCACTGGCATCTTGACCCAAAATGGCTACGGAGGAAGAGGAAGAGGACAACTGAAACCCCGAGACTCATCAACGATATTGGAATAAACCCTCCCTCCAAGCTCCCTCTTCTTAGGCTCCAACAGGGGCTCATTTCCACTAATTAAGGGAATTGCCTCGCTGGGAGACAACAGTTTGAAAACCCGGAAGCATGCCAAAACACCGTCCTTGGGACTCCAACGCCGTGGATCAACGTGCCTGTTGCGTCTTGACGTTCCTTAACCCTGCCAGAACACCATTCCTGCGACTTCACCACCGCGAAGCAACGTAACTGCTGCACCCCCACATTCCTGAATTATTCCAAAACGCTACTTCTGGTACGCTGGCCATGGGATTCCGTCAAACTCTTGCAAATGTTTGACAATAATGCGCACAGGGCTAAAGCGAGATCCACATTTAAAAACGAACCGCCCTCAATCCGTGAAACTCCTGCAATGTGTTAAAACAAATGCGCGCGGCGCTAAGGCGAGAGCCACATTTGGAAAATCGTCCGCCCTCAATCCGTGAAACTCTTGCATAACTTACACCGAATGTACGCGGCGCTAACGCGAGAACCAAATTTTCAAAGCGACCCGCTCTCCATCCGCGAAACTATTGCCAGCATTTAACCTTCAGGGTCATAAGGGATGGGGAAGTCATAAGCGAAACGAAAAGGCCAGCCCTTTCGACCCGCCTCGGGGTGCGACAGGGAGGAGTGATTTACAAGGACATGGAATGGGCGAGGAGGAGGAGAGGAGGCGGAGGAGGGAGGAGGGAGGAGGAAAAGGGAGAAGGGGACCATGAGGCCGGCGACGACGAGCAAGCCCTCCTCCCTCTGGGGGCGATGCCCAGCGCCTTCTGCAGCGCCGTCGCGCCGGACGCGGGCTGCCGCCGCCCCGAAGAGGCGGAGGCACCCTCAGGCTCCTGCAGCGGACCCAGGTCGCTGAGGAGGAGGCGAGGAGGGGAGGGAGGACCGAGGGGAGGAGGACCGAGGGGGGGAGGGGGGAGGGGGGAGGGGCAAGTTAAGTGCGCTAGCGTCAAATCTGACGTTCTACCCGTTCCTCCCATCCCTTACCATGGGGTAGATATCCTCTCTATTCGCAAAATCGGATGGTGAGCAGGGCAATGATTGCGAGAGGGCACGAGATGCATGGTACAACACGGCATAGCATGGCGCAGAAAAGCACGGCAGAGCGTAGCATGCCATAGCATGGCGTGGCATTGCGCAGTGAAGCATTGCATCACAAAGCATTGCAACGAAAAGCATGGCAACGCACAGCGGCGCAGAACACAACACCGCACAGCATGTCATGGCATGGCGCCAGGGTCCTTAGAGGGTAAGTGGATCGTCTTCGAAGGGTCTGGGACAGTCTGGAGTCGCGGCTCCATGTTTAGCTCCCTGGGTTCCCAGGAAAGCTCCCCACAAGGCGGGTGTGATGGAGAGCACCCGCTGGCTCTGCTTGCAACATCGCCTTCTCAAAGCAGAAACGGGGCTCCCGCTTGAAACTTCTTGAAAACGACGACGCCCTAAAGTGGGGAGGGCTTCTGCGCTAAAAAATCAACGAATCGACACCTCATGTGTAAACACTTCCGATGGTTTTTCTCGGGGGGGGCATGTTCTAGATGTTGGGGCCGATTTGGAAGGACCGAGAAAAAAAAACGCGACGCAGCGGGAGCGCGATCTGGAAGAACCAGAGGCGCAGAAATGGCGCCAGCGCTCCAGCGGGAGCAACATGTTGGAAGAAAAAAAAAAAAAAAAAACGTTTACTGCGTGGAGCTCCCCATATGTGCATCTTCTAGCATGGACCAGTTTCGAATATTCACGAGCTTAAATATTGACGGTCTGGCAGCGCATCTAACTGTGAATGAGTTGGAGTGCAAATGAATATCAATAATACGATCGCGTATCTGCGCATGAGCCTGGGGCCTCCTGGGGCCTCCTGAAGCCTCCTGGGGCTTCCTGGGGCCTCCTGCAGCCTCTTGGGGCATCATGTGGCCTGTTGGGGCTTCCTGTGGCCTCCTGAGGCCTCCTGAGGGCTCCTGAAGCCTCCTTGGGCCCCTTCCTGGGGTCTCCTGGAGCCTCCTGGAGCCTGCTGGGGCCTCCTGGGGAGGATTCGTGCCCCAGGCGACGCCCAATGTATAGAGGAACAGACGTACATAAAACAGTACGGACTGGAGACACAGGAGACAGAAAATATATAGGAACACACGTAAAAAACGAAGGATTCGTGCCCCAGGAGAGACTAGATAGCAACAGGCGTAAACACACAAAGGATTCGTGCTCAAGGCGAGGCACAATCCTCCTCCTCCTCCTCCTCCTCCTCCTCCTCCTCCTCCTCCTCCTCTCCTCCTCCTCCTCCTCCTCCTCCCCTCCCCCTCCTTCCTCCTCCTCTCCTCCTCCTCCTCCTCCTCCTCTCCCCTCCTACCTCCTCCTCCTCCTCCTCCTCCTCCTCCTCCTCCTCCTCCTCCTCTCCTCCTCGTCCTCCTCCTCCTCCTCCTCCCTCCTCCTCCTCCTCCTCCTCTCCTCCCCTCCTCTCTCCCCTCTCCTCCTCCTCCTCCTCCCCCTCCTCTCCGTCGTCCTCCTCCCCTCCTCTCCTCCGCCTCCTCCTCCTCCTCCTCCTACTCCTCCTCCTTCCCTCCTCCTCCTCCCTCCTCCCTCCTCCCTCCTCACTCCTCCCTCACTCCTCCCTCCCTCCCTCCCTCCTCCCTCCTCCCTCCTCCTCCCTCCTCCTCCTCCTCCACGTATTATTATTATTATTATTATTATTATTATTATTATTATTATTATTATTAGTATTATTATTATTAGTATTATTATTATTAATATTATTAATATTATTATTAGTATTATCATTATTATTAGTATTATTAGTATTATTAGTATTATTAGTATTATTATTAGTAGTATTATGATTAGTAGTAGTATTAGTATTAGTATGATTATTATTATTATTAGTATTATGATTATTATTATTATTATTAGTATTAGCATTATTATTATTGATAATATTTTTGGTATTATTATTAATATTATTATTATTAGTATTAGTATTATTAGTATTAATAGTAGTAGTATTAGTATTAGTATTAGTATTATTATTAGTATGATTATTATTATTATTAGTAGCATGATTATAATTATCATTAATACTATTATTATTACTATTACTATTATGATTCGTCTTAGTATTATTATTCGTAGAACTATTATTATTAGTACCTTTAGTATTATTAGTATTAGTATTACTAGTATTATCATTATTAGCAGTATTATGATTAGTATTAGTATTATCATTATTATTAATATTATTATTATTATTATTATTGGTATTAAGGTATTAATTGTATCATTATTAAGGTTATTATTATTAATAGTATTAGTACTATTATTATTAGTATTATTAGTATTACTAGTACTATTGTTATTATTATTATCATGATTCTTATTAGTACTACTTTTATTATTATTATTATATTATGATTCTTGGTATTCGTATTCTTAAAATTCTTAATATTATTGTGCTTCGTATTATTATTATTGTTATTATCATTATTATTATTATGAATAATAGTAGTAGTATTATTATTACTATTATTAGTATGATTATTATTATTATTATTCGTATTAGTATTGTTATTCGTCTTCCTATTATTAGTATTATTCTTATTATTATTATTCGTCTTATTATTATTAGTGTTCTTCTTATTATTATTATAACTATTATTATTACTATTACTAATAGTATGATTATTATTTGTCGTGTTCTTATTATTATTATTATTATTAGTTTTCGTCTTCTTATTATTCTTATTATTCGTCCTATTCTTATTCGTCGTATTCGTCTTCTTCTTATTATTATTATTATTCTTATTTTTTATTATTATTATTCCTCCTCATCATCATCATCATCAGCAGAATCAGCATCATCATCAGCATCATCAGCATCATCATCATCATATCATCATCAGCCTCATCAGCATCATCATCATCATCATCATCATCATCATCATCATCATCATCATCATCATCATCATCCCCCTCCTCATCTTCCTCCTCCTCCTCCTCCTTCTCCTCCCCCTCCCCCTCCTCTTCCTCCTCCTCCTCCTCCTTCTCCTCCTCCTCCCTCCTCCTCCTCCTCCTCCTCCTCCTCCTCCTCCTCCTCATCATCATCATCATCTTCCTCCTCCTCCTCGTCCTCGCACCCCCCCCTCTGGCTCCTCCGGCGGCGGGCCCAGGTCTTTCCCCTCGGCCCAGTCGCGGCGCAGCCTTACCTGCTGCATGTACCTGCAGAACGCGAGGTAATCCTCCGAGGCTGCCAGGGAATCGACCAGGGCTCTCATTTCGCCGGGGTTTTCCCTAAGAGCAGCGTGGACGCTATCCAACACGGTCTTCAAATCGATGCCCTCCTGCTCGAGGAACTCGTCGACCCTGCCCTCGAAGAGCTCCCTGTACTCGCCGTGGAGCCTCGTGAACTCCAAAGGGTGCTCCCACTTGTTCGGGGGTTCGTACGGGAACTTGGTGCAGTGCTCCCAGGCCCAGCAGGCCACCTCTGGAGGCCACCCAAATGAAGGCGTTTCCTAATCAAAACAAGCGATTCCCCAGAATTAATGAAGAACGCGGGTTTTCACACTTAAAGTACATGGGAGCGGTGGGTCAGGCCGCATCGCCGATGCATTGCCGATGCATCGGCGATTGATCCGCGACGTCGGCGATGTATCGTCGATGTTAGTGGGGAGAAAATCGGGCTCCACATCCGGCCGCATCGCCGATGCATCGGCGACACGACGCGATCCACCGACCTCATCTGCTTCGACCCCGTTTGGGCGGCCCGGCTAATTTTTCTCCTCCTCCTTCTCTTCCTCCTCCTGCAGCGTAGCCAAGGGGGGCGCAACCAGTCTATGACCCGCCGTCGGCTCTAAGGCTGAGGGCGCTCGGTGGTGGATTTGCCACTTCGCGAGCGGCACTACCTCGCGGTCGGAGATCGTTGCGACCTCATCCGAGAATCCTTTCGATTCGCCGCGGAGGGCGTTGTTGAGAAAATACCCAGCGATAATTGGAAGGAAGGCACGAGGGGAGGGAGCAAGGAGACCCCAAGCCTCGAGAGGGCAAAGAGGGATGGGGCGTTCTATGATCGCTGAGACCAGCCGTCGGAAGCGGGGGCAGAGCCAGTAGCGCAGGAACGAGTCAGTGCAGGGTCGGCCTCCCAGAGAAGCTCCAGTAGGACATCCGAGACGGCACAGGCCAGGGACAGGGTCGTGAAATCGATGGCTCGTAACCCAGAACCCCGTTGAAGTTTTCAGGCAAGCATTGGCATGGGCAGGGGAGTACCGCGTGAGGGCGTCCAGCATTAGATCGAGAACGGGAAGTACCTACGAAGCCTACGCCCGGAGAGGCTAGCAAGATCGTCTGGGCACACACTTTCGATTAGGGCGCCGTGGAAAACCCTCTGCGGGTGGAAGCACTTCACGGCGCGGCGAACAATACCTTGGGCCAGGATCGGGCGCCCTGGGGTACGAGCGCACGGGATCTCACGGTCGGCGCAGGCAGCCAGGAGACGACCACGGGCACCCGAAGCAGCTCTCGCGAGGCTCGTCCTTGGTGCCCCAAAGCCGCGGCTTGAAGATTTTCGGCTATGGAAGGCGAGCGCCACCACCGCCCGCGAGGACAGCCTGCCTTCGGCAGCCTCCTGTAAGGTGAGCTGGATTCCCGCCGCCTGGAGTCTCTCTATAGCATCTGGCCACGAGCCGAAGGTGCTAAGGGAGGCACGCATGAGGGCAGCGGCAGAGAGAGGAGCGGGATAAAGGGGATTCGAGGCCCGCCCCAATGACGGCAGCGCGCACCCACCACTCGCGGTCACGGATGGCACGGTGGGGCTGATTAAAGAGGCCGGCAAGGATGGCAGGTTCGCGCTCAACCACCCACATGTCCAGCGGCAAAAACTGGGCCACATACGAGAGGACAGGCACCGCTCTCTGAGAGTACACGCGGGCAGCGATGGAGGAGGGGGGATCAGACGAGGACAGGGAGAGGGACCGATCTGCTCACTCGGTTCTCGGAGCGCGACAAGACTCATTCGCGATTGCTGGGCCGAGCCACACGCCTAGGTATTTCGCGCAAGCGGCAATCCGAAAAGAGCTCCAGTCGGGGAGCTGAAGGTCGGGCCAACCTTGGACACGTGATTCAACGGTCTCAGACAAATCAGCAAACAGGGGAACAATGAAGCATTTGGCGGGTCTGAGCTCTAGCCGCGCAGGACGCGCAGCATTCTTGAAAACTGGGAACACTCGATGCAATGACGCGATCGCCCCCAGAACAAAGCCCGCGTCGCCCGCGCACATCCTAGTCACGCCCCTCCTCCGGGAGCCAACCAGATCCATAAACTGCTGCGCGAAGGAGCCCATGGCCAGGGCGAAGAGGGCCCCGCCCCCAGGACACCCTTGCACGTTTCCCGAGAGGACCTGGAAGAGGCAGGTATAGGAGTCTCCGATCAAGCCGAAACATCCAACCCCAGCGTAGATCATCTGGAAGAAGGCGAGGAACGGAGGCGATGAACCGACCAAAGCACCGCGAAGAGCCAGTTGCGGGCCACACCGAGGAAGGCCCGGGCGAAATCATAGGTCACCTGGACGGGGAGATTGCTCTGCACATCCGGAGCCAACGACACGCAGCGACCTTCAGCATCGAGTTCGATGATGTCATCCCCGAAGTTCCGCCCCCGAACGAAGCCCCGCCGAGGGGCCGCCAGACCTGCTGGGAAGGATAAAGCCAGGGCGCTCGCGAGGACTCCGACTAGCATCTTGTTGTCGGAGTTATTCGGGTCTAGCGGTCGGGCATTGGCGGCGCCCCTCGTCGCGCATCGCCCTGCGTCTCCCCCCCCTCACCTCCCGGGGCAAGAACGCCCAATGAAACGTTGACACGCCCGAAGATCGGACCGCCACCAGGAATCCACCACAGCGCGCTATCCAGGATGGCACCCGCGCCACGGGCCCGTTGGCAGGCCGGACGCGGGAGGCCGTCAGGACCTGCCGCGCCACGCGGGAGGCGCATCAGGCGCCGCCCAAACTGGTCGGGGGTGGGCGGCGGCAGCTGGGAGCAGACCATCTTCGGGCCGAAACGTTCGAGGAGGACCAGGATCGCCGACTCGCCGCCTTCCTTCGGGCCGAAGACGGGGGCCCACTGCTTGGCGAGCGACGTCGCCATGGCCTTCGGCTCGGTCGCGATTTCTGCTCCATCGCGGACTGCGCGGAGGAAGTCCCTGGAGCCGAAGGGGGCCCACAGCTTGCCGAGCCTCCGCAGGTTGGCAGCTCGGGCCCGCGCACTCCGCAGCCGGCGTCGGATGACGGTCGGGAGCCCGCCAGGAGCAGCACCACCGCCAGGGGCGCCGCCGGCAGCCGCTTCAGCTTCAGCAGCGCCAGCCTCTGCTTCCCAAAGTCGGCTGCCGTTCATCTCGCGGTGGAGGGCCCTGGAGAGTTCCAGGTACTCGACGCGCTCCGCCAGGTGCACCGCCCGCGAGCCGCGGTCCAGGTCCAGGAACTCGCTCGCCAGCGGGTGCGAAGGGCGCAGCTTGCAGACGCCAGTGCAGTCGCGCTTCATGACGATGCGGGAGATGCTCCTCACGACCATGAAGCGCGCCGTCAGAAGTGTTGGGTTCGTGCCAGATCACGGCATTCCGCACGTGTCGGGCAGCCCCCAACATCACCATCTTGAAATGCTCGTGCTTGATGGGGGGCGACATGCGATCGTAGTCACCAGCCGTCATCGCGGAGTCAAAGAAGGCAGCATGCCGAGGGTATTGGAAAATATCTGGATGCATCGCCTGGGCCCGAGGCGCGAGGCCGCGCCTGGGCCCCACTGCGAATACGACCGCAGCGTGGTCGGACAGGCCTTGAGCACGCAAGGCTGCAGGGCCCCCTCGAACGGCCCCTCCTTCAGACATCTGTAGAGCAGACCACCCAGGAGCAGACGAGAAGAGACGACCCACGCACTTGAGCTCGTCCGCCCCAGGAAGGTAGCGCGAGGGGTCACTGACGACATGCTCGAGGAGGCCCTGGAAGATGCTGCCCCGCGCTCTGTCCACGGGAGACGAAGTGGGATTCCTGCGGGGTGCTCTCGCGGTCCACCGTGGCCCTGAGGAAGAAGGGGCCGATGGGGGGAGGAGAAGCCATCTGGGTTCCCGTAGAGGCCCTCAAGGAAGCAGCACTGGCACCAGCAGGCGGGGAGGGGGCCTTCCTCTGGGTCCTTGAGGAGGTAACCTGGGTTCCCGCAGGGGTCCTTACCGCTGAAGCACCTGTTATCTAGGAGGGTGGGGAGGCCAAGCTCAGGGCCCGAGTGGAGGCCCTCAGGCTCGAAGAACGGGTCGACGGGCAGGCGGGGAGGTCAGGCTGAGGAAGCGGAGCGGGATCCACGATAATCGCCTCGCTGGCACTGTCGGTCGCCGGCGAGTGGGAGATGCTGAAGTCCCCACCGACGAGAACTATGTGCCTGGTGGGGCCCCTTCGGGCAATTTCCAGTGAGGTTTCAAAGTCATGACGAATCAACAATACCTGAGCGCAATTCAGACCAAAATTGTGAATGTCAGAATGCGTCACTGAATATACAGAGTGTGGGGAGAAAATCCTGATTTTGAGCGCTCTCCCAGGGACCAGCTCGCGAAGCTCCGCAGCTGGTCTAGCGCCCCCGAAAAGCTGCGCGGCCTCCTCAGAGCCCCACCGCGGCAGCTGGTAGGACGCGATCACCCCTCCCGCGTTCGGCTGGCTGCGACAGAAGGAGGAGACCAGGTAGTAGTCCTTCTTGTTGAGGCACTTGGGCAGGTTGTGTGCCTCCGTTTGGTACCACGAGTCTCCTGCACCCCAACTACTGGCCCATCAAGTAGTTTAGCAAGATACTTCATCTTCTTGATGCGTAGTGCGCGTTCTTGCCCCGATCGGGGTGCCAGGAATAACGCACGTGCACTCCAGTTGGCCATTCTGAACGGAAAGAGCTGACCTTCTCGACCTCGTCGATCGCACGCCAGGAACGTCGGCAGGGCGCTAAACCCACCACTCCGCGGGCACCGCCGGGGCGCCAGCGAGCGCGTCCTCGACCAGCGGGGCGAGCCTGTCCTTGGAGATCTGGAGCTCGCGCAGGTTGTCGGCACTCCATTCGACGGTGGGCTTGTCGCCGCTGTCCGTGGGGGTGATCCGCAGGAAGGGGGGCCAGTTCAAGCTGAGCACACCCTTGCCCTTGTCGCTGGAGAACTTGGTGTCGGGGTAGGCTTCCTCCACCGCTCTGCGAGCCGCGCGCAGAGCCAGCTTTCTCTTAATGGTGAACGGTTTCTTGTCGCCGCTGACGAACAGGTTGGCGCGCTCGCCGCCCACGCCCCTGTAGGCGAAGTTATCCCAGTGCCCGTCGGAGCGCCTGAGAGCCCCCAGGCATTGTCCGACCTTCCTGATCGCGTAGTTGGCAGCCCTTGAAGCGGATGACGAAGCGCTTGCCTGTGGGATCTCCCTCCCACTTATAATCATCATTAGGGGCCATCTTACAGCTCTGCAAGAACGAGGATGGCTTGCACCTTGTCCTTGGCGACGAGCGCCTTCGAGGTGATGGCCAGCACCGCAGGATCGATGGGCCTCTTGAAGTTTGGGTTATCCATGTGCCGCTCATGCGGATCAGCGTCCCTGAGGTGGCCGAAGTCGGCGCTGAGGCGGTCCACGGTGGAGCGCAGCGCGGCCAGGTCGCGGGCCTGCGTGCGCTCCGTCGCCCCCACGGTGCCGAGGCGCTGCTCCATGTGCCTGCCGAGGCCTTCGTAGGAGGTAGCGACCTGCGTGGACAACTGAGCGACCGTCGCCTGCAGCGTCGACACGGACTGAAGGATGTCGTTGCGAGTCTGATCAACATATGAGCGCCATTCTGGAGGCTCATCGCCCACCACATGAAAGCCAGCATTGTCACCAGGAGGAGCGGCAGCAGCAGGAGGACGTCTGGCAGCCGCTGCCTGAGCCCACGGGTCGCTTGGAGGCCGTGCTGCCTCAGGACGCTCCTGCGTCGGGAAGGTGGCCGCCGCGTCGATGCCCTCCAGCAGTGACTGGGCCATCTGCATGGGCTCAATGATGGTTGCACGAGGGGTTCGTCGTTCCTGACCTTCGCGGATGCGGCGGGACCCTTGACGGCGGGCAGGGCGGCCTCCATCGCTCTTGGACTGGGATCGGTGGTCGCTTTCTCCGCCAGGGCCAGCAGCGCCGTCAGCGCGAGGGCCACGCGCCGCCATTGCAGCAGGATGGACCTCGTACAGAGACAAGTTGTATTCCCCAGGAGCTCACTGAGCGGGGCGCGTGGGCGAGGCCGTGATGCCCTCCTGCCCACAGCCCACCCAATTCAGCTCTCTGTAAGCCACATCGAGAAATGGTTTACTTGAGCCAAAATGGCTACGGACCTTCTCTTCCTCCTCCTCCTCCTCCTCCTCCTCCTCCTCCTCCTCCTCCTCCTCCTCCTCCTCCTCCTAAATCCTGCTCCGCCTCCTCCTCCTCCTCCTCATCCTCTTTTTTGTTCCCTTCTCCTCCTCATTGATCCTCCTCGACCCTCGTCGACCCCCCTCGATCCTCCTCGCGCTCATCCTCGACCCTCCTCCACCCCCCTCGACACCCGCTTGCAAGCGGCCCCCGAAAGGCCTCGAGCAGGAAGTCCTCGTCCTCCAGGTAGGCGCGCACGCCCTCTAGCGTCTCCAGCGGCGCAGGCGGGGCGGACCCCTCGCCGCGCGCGGGCATGGCGCCCGGGGGGGAGAGGGGGAACGATAAGGGGGGACTTGATGGGCCGATTTGCGACCACCACCACCACCACAATAGGTAGGAGATGGAGGAGGAGGAGGAGGAGGAGGAGCAGGAGGAGGAGGAGCAGCAGGAGCAGGAGCAGGAGGCGGAGGAGGACTTAGGAGGAGGAGGCGGAGGAGGAGGAGCAGGAGGAGGAGGAGGAGGAGGGAGGGCAGCGCCATCAGGAGCCAGGAATCGGGAGGAGGAGGCGAAGGAGGAGGAGGAGGAGGAGGAGGAGGAGGAGGAGGAGGACCTCCCCATCCTCCCTTCACCCCCGTCCTAACCATGGTAGCGATGGTGGAACATTGGGCCATCAGGGCTGGCTCAGGAGGGAAAGCGTCGGGCTGGAATCGGCGATGCATCGCGGGTAGATCGGTGATAGGCTGCCCGTAGCGAATCCGCACGGCCCTGGGCGGGGTGGGCTGTAGGGCCCCCATCGGCGACCCATGAGCGAGTCGGGATCGGCGCACCTGCCCCCTGAACAGATACCCCCCTAACGTTGCCCCTGAGGGGGAGGGGGGCCGGCGGGCGCGTGCGCCCGCCGACAAATGAGAACTGCTGCAAGCGAGGCGAGGCGAGGCGATTCCTGGCTCGCCCGTGAGAGCGGCCGCCCTAGTGGCCGGAAGTGGGCGCCAGGGCGCCGCTCGTTCAGCCGGGATGGAGTTGTCATTGCACGGTGCTCGTAATAGCCATCAAACTGCGGCCAAAAGCTGCTGTCCGATCCAGTGGTTGGTCGATTTTCTCCACACGTTGTGCAGAGCAAAGTCCGCGACACCATCGCATCACCACAAAATGCAGGCGAGCAAGTCCGAGCGGTGCTGCGGGCGGTGGCGGCGAGGTACCGACCCCCACCTCCTCTGGTCGTGGAGAAAACACGACGGACGGGTTTGGGCTGTTTCCGGCATCCCGAGACCCTTACTCAGGGGCGTCGAAGAGGGGGACGTCCAAGAGAGTGCTCGCAAACCATGGTCAAGACATCTGCTCGGACAAAGGTGGGACCAAAGGACGTATTTGGCATTGCTTGGCATTACTTGGCACTGCTTGGCATTACTTGGCGTTACTTGGCATTGCTTGGAATTGCTGGGCTTTGCTTCGCATTGTTTGCCGTTTTTCGCATTGTTTGGCATTGCGTGGCACTGCTTGGCTTTGCTTTGCATTGCTTGGCATTGCTTGGCATTGTTTGGGGACCCAGGGAAAACGAAGAACCTGACGAACTCGGGGACCCCGAAGAAACGGGAAAACCGAGGAACCCGAGGAACCCGAGGAGCCTCGGGACAACAAGGAACCCGAGGAACCCGAGGAACCCGTGGAGACCAGGGAACCCGAGGAACCCGAGGAACCCGGGGAACACGAGGAACTCGAGGAACCCGAAGAACCCAGGGAACCCGGGAAGACCACGGAGCCCGAGAAACCCGAGGAACCCGGTGAACACGAGAAACTAGAGGAACCCGAGGAACCCGGGGAACCCGAGGAACCCGGGGGACCCGAGGAACCCGGGGAACCCCCGAGGAACGGGCAAATTGGCGGAGTCGCAAAGCGATCAAGATGCTTTTCTCTCTCCAGCGCGCAGCACCAGAGCTCTCATCAGACGCCCGCCGGGCGGAAGACCGTAAATTGGTCAAGGGCCCTGCGGGGCCAGCAGAGCCAAACGGCGGCGGCGGGCAGTGGACCTCCAGAAGGCTCTCTAAAGGTCCTCAAGTACACGGGCCCTGGCCGGACCTGGTCGCATGGCCCCTGGCGGGCCAGCACAAAAAGAGGCAGCCCCTGGTGGGCTGGCAAACAAATATGTAGGCCCCTCGGCCAACATCTCAGGAAGTCTTTGGAACTCAGGAGAGGGCGTGCGCGTCGGGCGGAGGATGGGAGATGGTAGGAACGCACGCACTCCGTCAGCTCCTCCTTCCTGCCGGATGCCATCTGTAGCTCAAAGGGGTATAAGCCAGCGATCAACGACTGCGTCGCTCGCCGCAACATGGAAATATGGAACGGCTTCATGAAATCGAACCGCTCGCCAGGAGCGCACTCAAATATGAAAAGAAGAAACTCAACTCACTGAGGCTGCCAACGTGGCCTAGCCGCCCCCACGCTGCAGAACGCCCCATCGCACCCCTTACCGTCCGTCAATGGACTCGGGGTCCACGTAGTAGCCAATGCCACTGGCCATCTTGTTCGCCTCGTCCTCAGTGATCTGCCTGCCCTCGGGACTGCAGTGCCTCATTACACGATCGGACACCTTGATCATCACGGGATTGTCCTCGAGACTGGCCTTCAGCAGCTTCGTCTTGATTCCCGCGAAGACAAAACCCTGCGGCACCGTCTTGATATCCACCTTTCTGGCCGGGCAGCCCCTTGGGTCACGTACAACTTCATCGTCAATCGTGTTGACCGTCTTGGTCGTCTTCTGCCTCGTAATCTGGAGCGCGGTCATCGTCCGCGTGAATCAGCCGCGGCATTCTCTCGATCGCCTGGGACAGTCGGATCGATGCCCTGATCTCCCTCATCTCTCACATGAGGTACAGCACGGCCATAGTCATCACGAACAGGATGGCCAGCAGAATGTAGATCACTGCATTGCCATTTTCCTCAGTAGGTGGCGCAGCAGGTGTTGCCCTTGCCGCGGCCAAGGACGATATCAACGTGGCATGCGGAGTCCGAGGCTTGGACTCGTCCTGCTCACCGTTGGCTCCGTCAACCTTGATGTTGCTCCCAGGGTGGTACCCGATCCACTCGCGGTTGATCCGCCACACGTGGTACCCGATCTACTCGCGGTTGATCTCCTCAGCGTGGTACCCGATCCCCTCGTGGTCGATCTTCCTGCCAATGAAATCAAGACTTTTGTTGGCTTCACGGCCTGTCGCTTCCCCTGCGGAGGTGGAATCTCGAACTTCTTGGAAGCAAAGAAGGCAATCAAAATCGAAATGAACGCCACACTCTTAGTCAGGCCGTCAGCTACCATTGCGTCAGTCCTCGTCCAAATCAGTGTAGCATTCTCTTGTGCCTCAATACTCTCACGAAGAATGGAAACGCGTAGTCGTTTGTCCACAACCGAACCACTATCTTAATTCACAGTGATCTTTCGATTGTCGTTGTCCGTCACAGCCAGAATCGGCCTTGATGTACACAGCCTCTCAACATCCTTAAGCTTGGTGTTGGCTGGCATATATAACTCCTGAAGAAGATGTCGTAGAAACTGGCCATGCTCCATAGCCTCGCTGATGCTGTATGCCTCCGCAGCTAGCGTGGATCCCAGAACCCGCTTGAGTCGGCAACTTGCCCACACCAAGGGCACTTGCTTGTCAAACCGTCCGCCCGCAACCTCTCGAGGAGTGTTGGTGAGGCACAGCACTGCTCCAGCCTGGCTCTTCGCACCCCGCACTTTCGCGAACGAGGAATCACCGTAGGCCAGGACGCTCGTCGTGCTGATGTCCACGAAGCCCCTGCGGAAGTGCGGGCCGCAGTCGATGTTCTGCTTGACGTAGTCCACGAGCTTGTCGGCATCGATGAGGTCCTGGACCTCCAGCTCTGACGTCCTGTGCGCAAGCCTGTTCTACTGAAAGGCATGTCGGGCCTCGGGCGATGTGCCAGCCACTGTAAGTGACTGTTCGTGCTGCGATGCGTGCTCAGCTTCTCCATGGTCGCTTGCCCGTCTGGAACCCTCTTCCTGTCCGGGGCGGTGGGGACACACTCTACGGCCTTGACCGCCTTAGCCTGCGCAACGCAGATCCCTGCCTCGCCGTGCCTCATGTGCACTCCTCAGCACTTAAACTCCCCGTCGCGTCTCTCCAGGCGTAGAAACTCAGCCATCTCTCCAAATATCTTGTCGGCCGTGGGGCTTGCGGCCTTCCTGGCAACCAGCAAATCGCCAACGTGTTTGCGCATTTCCATATGGAGCCCCCCGTCGTAATAATACCTGTAGAACCCGCGCTCCATCTCGGACTCGTAGATACGCTTCCTTTCGAGGTAAGCCTTCAGATGCTTATGCCAAGCGCGCCCCGCGTCACTGGTACCGTAGATAAAGCCTTGCGCGTAGAACACCTTGCCCGGGTCCGCGGGGTGCCTCTTGGGCATCCTGATGAAGTGCAATATGCCGATGCCCTCTGCCTGGAGGTAGGCCGACTTCGCGTCGTAGGAGCACCCTGTCAAGCCCTTCTGCGCCATGAAACCGAGGGTGACCATCAGAGCGTCCACTGAGCCTGTGGAGACGTCGCTCGATGTAGGTGGAACGCTCCTGGCAGCCCTGAACTACCAGTCGAGACTTGTACTTGGACCTCTTGGTCTGCTTCAGCGTGACCACCCAGCGCGCGCCCACGACCTCGGCACCTTTGGCGAGATGCTGTCTGAGCTCGTGGCCTGGACATCTTCGCGCAGCTCCGAACGCCATCCACTTCTCCCACTCGTCTTCCATGGATGCCATGAGATCCCTGATAGTTTCGCATGAGACGGCGTCCAAATTGACCTCCTTGGACCTTGCAGCCCCGGTCAAACAGCATCCTCGAACTCCCTCGACCTGAAGGACCAATGCATGCCGTGCTTGTTTCTCATCTGGCTGTCCAGGCTGTCCTCTCGAAGGCCTGTTTTGATCCTGAGCCCCTTCGGGCCGTGGTAGGTCCTCCTCAACGTCGTAAAACTCGTCGGCATCATCGGCGTCCTTCTCCAACTCCTCGGGGTCGCGATCCTCAAACTCTTCATACGGCACTTATTCGTCCTCGCCGCGGTCTTCTTGCACACATAGGGTCCACCATATTCTGAACCTGCGGCGTCTCCCCATTCCCGTGATGATAGGGAAGAGGGGGATCAGGATCATGAGGAGGAGGCGGGGCGCCTTGGGATTCCTCAGGTGGCAGAGGAGGCATCTCCTCCCCGGGATGTCCTGGCGGCCCAATATACCGCTCAGGAAGCGTAGGTACTTGCACACGGGGTCCTTGGGAGTCCCTGGGTCCTTCCAACATGATATGTGGAAATGGTGCAGGACCTCCTCCTGCCAGCTTCTCTTCCTAGTTAATATTCAGGCGACGTCTGCCGATGGCAGGCGGAACGCAGGGAACACCCTCAACATACTGAGGCCCCCAAGCGGCGGAATGCTGCTCCA